CTGGGAGACCTTCTGGGAATCCAATCGCAGTGGCAGAAAAGGACAGGAAATTTGAAATTGCTCCCCCACCGCCGTGATCGAACCCCCAGGAGGTGGCGGGGAAGCCTTGGGAGGTGGCGGGGAAGCCGCGATCGGAGGCAGCGGTCACCCAGTGCCAGGAGGCTTGAGCTGGCCGGGTTTTTCGGCTGCTTCCCTCCTGGCTCGCCTCCCGCTCACTCCTTGCTGCCCTCCGCCATTTGAATTTGCCGCCATGGGCCATGGAGGGTGGCGCAGAGCAAGCAGGAGGCGAGCCGGGAGGCAAGCGGCCGAAACCCAGGCAGCTCAAGTCTCTCGGCGCTGGGCGACCGCTGCCTCCGCTGCGGCCGGGGGGCGAAGCGTCCTGGCCAAGCTCAAGCCTCACTGAGGTGGTGGTCACAGCGGCAGTGATCCCAGCGGCGGGGGACCACCAGGAGGCTTCGGATGGGTAAGTGCTAGTTTTTTTCTTTTAAAAAAGTTGTTCTGGGTGGGCTTTGGAGGGTAGGTTTGGGCTGAGGGGGTATATTTCTGTGTTGTTTTGTTTTTTGTGATTTTTTTTCAGTCCCAGCATGGGACTTGCTCCAATGTTTATTTTTGGATTTGTTTGTTTGTTTGTCTGTTTTGCAGTCCCAGCGTGGGACCAGCAGTGTTATATTTTTATTTTTTGGGTATTTTTTTCTTCCCCTGTAACGCATTAATCAGTTTTCAATGCATTCCTATGGGAAATGGAGCCTCGACCTACGAACTTTTCAACTTGCGAACACTGTTCCATTACGGATTAAGTTCGTAAGTCGAGGTACCGCTGTATTTCAGCCATGAGTCATCAGTCTGAGCAGAGGCTGGGAAAATTATTTTTCAGACTGCAACATCCTGAACCTGTGTGCTCACCACATAAACCTTTCTGAGCTCTGGCATATAGACTGTGCCCTTGTCTCTTTTTCACTCGTTTCATTAAGACAGGAGGGAAAGAGTGGGGTCATGCTAACATGAGCAATTAAACAAGAGGTTTCTGCTGAAGAAGAACGCAATGTTATGTGAGTCTGCTGCTTCTGTATTATCTTCTCACATTCGAGAGCTGATAGCAGAAGACATTCTCTCTCTCTCTCTCTCTCTCTCCTACTCAACAATGCTTGAATCTGAGGACTGACTATCATAATACATCTTAAATATGTCAAAGTTGCCACCAAAGAGGAAGAAACATCCCTCACCTGCAGCAGATTCTGGAGGGGAATAGAACTGCCCATCAGAAAGCGCCCCTGAATACAGAAGGGGTCCACGGGCCGCAGCAGACTGAGCTGCCAAGTACCCTGAAGAAAGAAAAAGCAATTAGGTTCATTCATAATCATATTACCTCCCACGTACATTCTGTGCAACAGCACATGAAGTGGGAAAGTTCAGTAAAGGGCAAACTGATGCTTGAAGAAAATGGGAAATCTCAGAAATTCTACTTCCATATAGAAAAACAGAGGCCAGCAGGCTACACTGGAGAAAGACTAAGACCCAGTCCAGATATCTGAGAGTTGTGCAGCAGAGACCGAAAAGGGGCGAAAAACAGAGGCCAGCAGGCTACACTGGAAGATCTGGGTAGTTGAAACAAAGAGGTGCACTGGGGAAAGGCTAAAACCCAGTCCCGATATCTGAGAGGTGTGGAGCAGAGACCAAAAAGGGGTTCACAGAATTCCTTTCTCTCATCAACGCAGGTGATCTCAGCACAAGACACTTCCACTATACATTTGAAGGTCCTGCTAGATTCCTCATTTCCAACCAAGAGTGGAGCAAAAAGTTCTTTCCCCCACATCAAGATCTGTACCGTTTGTGTAAAGATGTTTCTAGTATTCTTTTCTTTTGAGGAGCAAAGAATGTACACACACCACAAATGGAAAAGCACACTTAGCTAAATTGTGGGGTTTTGCAAAGAATGATCTCTCTTTTTTTTGTACGTTTGTGTAAAGATGTTTCTAGTATTCTTTTCTTTTGAGGAGCAAAGAATGTACTGTACACACACCAAAAAGCAGTTTTTGCTAAAGTTGAAATGCTATCAAAAGTCTCATGTAATTTGTTCCCATCCGCATTGGGAAAGTAAAAAACAATGCCATTTCTTATCATTGCACGATGTTTATATCTCACAAGAGATAGTTTACATCTCTCACAGAGAGCACACTGTGGCTGGTCTGGCATTCTTATTTGGAGGATTTCAGCTGAAGATCTATCAGTGTGAGAGGGAAGAGCCAGTGTGAGAGAGAAGAGACAAGGGCAGAGAGAGAGAGAGAGAGAGAGAGAGAGAGAGAATGAGCAAACACAGACACTTGGAAGCATTTTATTCCCATAAACGCAGCCAGGAATTTCTTAACAAAGGGGAGTTTGTATTAAATTGTTGGTCTGACATTCTGGAGACTTAGGACTTGTAATCTAGCATCTGGCTGGACTGCACAGAAGCAGAGTGGGATATGTTTGGGATGCCTCCCCAATAATTATACAAATACTAAATTTATTGTGAAGGTAAAATGTGTTATTAATGCTTTTATCCTGTCCTTCCTGTTGGGTAGAAGATATCCCCTTTCATCCAGTGTATACAAATATCCCTGTGAGGAATGTCAGGTCAAGTAATCTAGTGAGGAGTCCATGAAGATTCAAATTAGAGTCTTTCAAGTTCTAGTTTGGCATTCTATGTATAACACCCACACTGACTTGCTCACTCTAGATCCAACATGAGAGTGTATATTTTGGAGGTAGAAGAGAACATGGGATGCTCAGGTATGAATGAGAAGCACATGTTTGGTACAAATGCATGCAGCAATCTATAACCTTCTAGTTTTCAAGTTCCTAGATGAAGGACTGGCTTTTCCTTCTTCTCATCCACCCCCTTTTGTGTTTCAAATGGAAATTAAGATGTGATAAATTGGGGACTGAAGGATGCCTTTGATGATTATCTTGGACACACATTTGGGCACAACAAGAATGTCCCCCATAGCTTAACATGCACACAGAGAGACACTTTTGCTGAGAAAGGCAGGCTTATCTCTACCCTGGTATGAGCAATGGCCTCTTTGCCTATCATATCTATAAAGTGATTAAGCATTTAATGCAACAGAGTGCTTTTCTCCTCGAACTAATCTGGAGTGTTTGGCTTTATACTTAGTGTTTGTTCATTTCTGTTATCTTTAACCCTCCCCTTTTTTTCAGAAAGGAAAAAAGAACAAAACAGAAAATGATCTCCCCTAGGTATTCTGCTTTTCTGTTCTCCCCCAATATAGGAACAATTAGACATACAAAACAGGCCTGAGGCTGCAGAATGCTGGATCTTTCAAGTTACCTATCGTAGATCAGCAAGATGCCAACTTAAAATACTCTCCAGTTGCCTGTCTTCGAACAGGGATGGGTAACAAAGAGCTCCCTAAAGCCATTTTATAGCCCTTCCTTTAAAAACCAACCAACCAACTATATCTGATGCAAAATTGTGTGTGTTACACAAATTTAGAGAACACCCTATTTAAAAGCAAAATATATATTTTGAAGGGGTTTTTATGGTGTGCCACTGATATTCAGTGGCACAGTGAGCATGGGTGCAGCATGTTCGAAGTCTGTGGAATAGGATGAAAACTGCTTAAAGTTTCCCATTCTTATTTTACAATGTTTCCCTTAGGAGGAAACAGCTCAAAGTCTTCAAACTACGTATTTGCAAAGGTTTTCACGCGCCGGGATCTAATGGTTGTTGTGGGTTTTTCGGGCTCTTTAGCCGTGTTCTGAAGGGGTTCTTCCAAGTACCATCTTCAGAGGACAGCACTCTGTGTCTTCAAACTATCCCTGCCTTGCTTAACTATCAGATGCCTTGCTTAACTATCAGATCAAGGCTTAATAAAGGTATTACCAAAGTATGGATCTGTAATATATCATGCTACACTATCAGGGATCTTGATTTCATTACTGGGTGTGGTTACATTACATTCATTCATTATCATTCAACTCAGGGACTCACATTGTTCTTCCTCGGCCTCCTGAGGTAAGACTTTAAAGTCCAGAAACCATGTTTCTAGCCAGGCAAGGACAAAGGAAACAATGGGCAGAAGATAGCCAAAAGCCCCTTTGCTCAACAGCTGTTGGGAAAGAAGAAGGTTCATATCACTTACTGGATATCACTTAATAGGAACCAGACAATTCTTCTCGAAATTAATTGATAAGGATTAGGCATGCCTTAAAGCACGTAGAACCACCCTTTTGCATCTCTAAACCAATGAATATTTTTATATGGTAAATGAATTAAATCTGGCTAGTTTTTCAGATTACAATATGAAAGATGACCCAACAATTGCTGGACATTCTTATCAGCAGCTTACCTGTGAGAAGATTACTTTCATTACCAGAAAGATACTGGAAACAAACGTACTGATCTTGAGAAAAAGGGAGCAGGGGAGAAGAAGAGAGTGAGAGTGATCCATGAATAAACAATACCAGAACTATTTCTCCAGAAGCTACAAAATGTGTATGTACAGAAGATCATACCAAAAATAAATAGCCTCTTACCGCTATAACCCACCAGTGTCGGATCCTTAAGACAGCATACCCTAGAAGCAGCACCGAAAACCGGAAAAAAGCCAAGACCTTTTATGGAAAGAAACACACAGGACATGATTGTACATTACTGAAGTACTCAGAGATACAGGGCAATAGAAACTGTCTATGAATCATGCTGAATTGGCATAAGAATATGCAGCCTTTCTGAATTCAGTGTACAAGAATATGCAGACTTACTGAGTTCTACAGAACTTTGACTCAATTAGGAAGAGGCCTGTGAAATGCTAATGCCTGCAATACTTCCAGGGTCATCCATATTGATCCTTTAAGCCAGGGGTCCCCAACCCCCAGTCCGCAGACTAGTACTGGTCTGTGGCCTTGGAAGGACTGGGCCGCCGAGGTGCACTTCTGCCCACTCGCATGTATGCAGTCTGTGGCCTTGGAAGGACTGGGCCGCCAAGGTGCACTTCTGCCCACCCGCATGTATGCGCAGATACCCCCCTGCCCACCCCTACGTGCATGGACGGATGCCCATCCGCTTCCCACATGCACGCATGCATTCCCCCACATTCCTGTACACACACACAGACGCATGCATGCCCCCGCACCCATATCCAGATGGACACCTGCCACCCCCCACAGTCCTTGGGAGAATGGTCTTCAACTAAACCAGTCCTTGCTGTCAAAACAGTTGTGACCCACTGCTTTAAGCAACCCTGTGCTTCCTTTTTAGCAACATTATTACTCCTGGCCAAAAAAAAAAAGTTTTCTCTTAGCTACCGTATCAAGTCATTTCATCATTAGAATACTTACAAATATGTCAAAAAATGATGTTTTAAAATCATAGTCAACGATTTCTTCTCTTAAACTCTTCTTGAGATTTTGAGAGGTCTGCACATAAGCAAAATTAGAGAAAGAGAAATTAAGAAATGCCAAGAGGGTGAAGAGTAATGCTAATCTTGGATCTTCTCTAATAGCAAGCTGTGTGAAAGAGTCCCAGTTCATTCTATCCACATCTCCGGGACCAACTTTCCTTGATCTTAGTATCCTCCAGAGATACTGGATCATGACTCTCATCACCATGATCAAGCAAAACCAGTGACTGCCAGTCAGGGATGATGACAGCTATAGCTCAAAACACATTAAACACATTGGATAGATAGCTTAAGCTATATTCTCTTCTTTCAAAACTTTGACCAAAGGCATCTAGATGGTTAGGGACATACAAGTAGGCCATGAGGAACAAACACAGTGACCATAAAGATTTCATTACAGGAGTCCAAAAACTCATCCTTGCAGAGAGCCTGTTATTATACTATTATGTCATCACTTGATTATTTTTATTTTTTCCCCATCTTGAACCATATTACTATTGTTGCTTTTAATTTTATTATACTGTTTTTATTCCACTTTTATTGTTAGCCACCCAGAGTAGACTTGTTTCTAGATGGACGGGGTATAAATTTAATAAATAAATCAAATAAATATTGCACCTCTGAAGCAGGTACTCCTTGGTCCCCCTTTGGTGACCAATAACTTATACAGAAAAAAAGTAGTTTAACAGAAGGTAAGCAATTTTTACTTTCTCCAAAGATGATATCTAGCGAAAATGTATTTCTTTGTCAAGGAACAATGGAATTGGACAACAAAAAAATTAATTTCAAATTTATTAACAGGAGCAAGATTAATGGTAGCAAGAAACTGGAAAGCAAAGCATGGTTTTCAGTTAAATAATTGGTATAAAGAAGTCTGGAATATAGCTACTAAAGAAAAATTAACATGTAATATTAAACTAAAGAAAGGTTTGATAAATAAGAATGTCTTTATTGATAGCTGGCGAAACTTTATTGATTTTGCATTAATAAAGGGTTCTGTACCTTTGCAAGACAATGCAGGTAGGGAAGAGGAATGGGTTCCTCCATAAATGGAGGAAAAAATGTTTATATTTCTAAATAGTCTCCAGTTCAGGGGAGCACGTTTTGTTAATTTGCACCCTCCTACCACCAATGTTAGTCTGAAGATCATTAGGTCAAGATCGCTCCATGATTACATGAGAACACCATCAAATCCTTCTCCTCACAAAGCAGTACCTGCCTGCCCAGCAATAAAACCGAGTGTATAAAAAGCCACATATGTCAAGCAGTAAATAAATGGAGACAAGCCAACATTTGGCATGGCAGTCAGGAAATCTTAAGCCACATGTGACAAGGAGACTATAACATCAGACTGAACCTCTCCATAACAACAAGTTTACAGGCCCTCCAAACTCACTATAAAGATAATTTCCGACACAAAGACGGTTAGGTAGCAGGTAGGGTGGGTACTACATCAACAGGATCTCACCCCTCCTCTGTTAGTATGTACACATTTGAATCTGGCAAACAGCTGGACATAGGTCCTGAACAAAGGAAGGCAAGTAACATTAGAGATCTGCACAGACCTCTTCCCTTCCTCCTAAGTAGCAGCTTCCTCTTTACCCACAAATACCTCCTCCTTGTTTGGTGAACTCATGCAGGACTGAGCCCTAGAAGGTTGAATCCCCACCCCATTTGACACTCTAGCATTCATCAACAGTGCCTTAAAGCAGTGGTTTCCAGCCTGGGGTACCCAGATATTCTCAGACTACAGCAGCCAGAAGCTTTCACCGTTAGTTGTGTTGGCCAGGATTTCTGCGGGTTGTTGACCAAGATAATCTGGGGACCCAAGGTTGGAAAACAATGCCTTAAAGCACTGATGAGTTGCTGAAATGATCACCATAATTCCCAAAACTTAAAGAAGTGGTGGTATGGAAGACAGAACACAAATGCCTAACAGAGCTTTCCCCAGCATGGTGCTCCCCAGAGGTGTTGAACTGTAACTCCAGGAAACCCTTAGCTAGGCTGATACATTTCAGGAAACAAACTGGAGAAGGAAAGCCTAAAAAGAAAGAGGAGTTCCCTTCCCTGTCTGTTTGACCTCCAAATCACACTTGCCTATAACTAAAACCTGCCCAATAATGGTGCTAGGCTTCTACCATGTTTCCCCAAAAATAAGACAGGGTATTATATTAATTTTTGCTTCAAAAACACATTAGGGCTTATTTTTAGGGGATGTTTTAATTTTTTCCATGTACAACAATCTAGATTTATTCAAATACAGTCATGTCATCTTCTTCTGGTTGCTGCACAATGGTGGAGGGCAGGATTTCACTTAACAGGGCTTATTTTCAGATTAGGTCTTATTTTCGGGGAAACAGTGTGTCCACCTTATAAATCTGTGCTTGCCTGCCCTCCTAAAGATAATCAAATATGGCTGGCAATCAAACAGAAACCCAGTAGTCAATAAAATAAACACCTGAAGTATGAGATGCAAACAAGGTGTAGTAGAGTTTGCATCTCAAACAAGAAGTATGAGATGCAAACAATAAAATCCCATCATAAAATGCAAACAGCAACACACTTGTTATAAAATGTAACCGGAAATAGCAGCACATGTTTAAAAAATCGAATTATAAAACATCACAAAGAAGCTAAGGGGCACAATTAACCCCTGCTGCCATATTAAAGCAAGAACTGCTCCACCTCAAAAGACTCACATTCTCTGTGACAACACATGATCAGTGGCTATCTTTTACCTCCCAATCTCTTAAAAAAGTTATTTTTTTAAATTGCAGCTCCCAGAATCCCCCTAGCCAGCATGATTAGTAAGGGAACTATGGGACTTGTAGCCCCAAAATATACCTTTCCAATCTCTGCAGTGTAGCTATGTAGAAATGTAAACACAAATGAATAACAAGCAGCAGGCAGCAACCATCAACTGGATCAGCACATAAGATATATAGAGAGCACAGAGGTTCAGCCATTAGCAGAAGAGGCCTTCTTTATGTCACATTTCATTTGGCCATGGCACTGAATTTTCCAAGATGCCCGGAGGAAGCAGCTCCATCGGGAGATCTCGTCCAAGATTCAAAAAGGAGGCCCTATGTCATGAAATGTGTGTTTTTCCACTGCCATCTATCTAGTGAGGTGGACAACTGATGGTCCTCTAGCTGCTGTTGGACTGAAACCTTTGGCTATGTTGTTTAAGGCTAATAGGAGTTGCAATGTCCAGTTGGTATACCACAAGTCCAGACCTGACCTGTACCTTCCTCAGCTCTGGGATCTGTATCTGGGTTTATGGCCTGGGTCTTTGACTGATACAAATACTCCATGAAGTGTCTCCCCCCTACTGCCCCACATCCATGCTGTTATAGTACTCCCTCCTTGGGTGGGATATCCTGGGTTCTACTCCAGATCCCTCCACATAAGACACTGCACATGCTGAAGAAGTGCTGGCTTATAGGCTATTTTTATAAGAAAAAAAAGAGACCCCCATCAGCTGGGAGTCCTTGAATGTGTCAGTTATTAAGTTCTGAACTACAAGTTCCTTAATCCCCAACAACTGGCCATGCTGACTTGAGAATTACGACATAAAGACGCCTTATAACAAAAGCTCAAGGGACAACAAAAATGGCATTTAGTCTACATGAGCTTCACCCTGACCTATCTTACGCTGTCACTAGAAGTGGATGGTAGAGAAGAGGGAGGGCAGAGGGTAGATTTTCCTGATACTCATGAAGAGCCAGCCACGATGACGACGAAGGAGTTTTCCATCTGAGGTCAGACTGGCTCTTCTCCTCATACCCCTGCAGGCTGGGTCACTCAGCTGAGTCATTAGTTCACCCACTGCCATCAGCCTGTGGCACACATTGGTCTCGATTTGTGTGGGTGTGAAGGCAAATGTGCATAGGCTTACTCTCTTTTTTCAGCCCGGCAATTAAAACCATTCTAAGAAATGAGTCAGCCTTGTTTATCATTTCTGCTGGGATAAACAACTTGACTAAATTCAGTTCTGCCTCTGACGTTGGAGCCTCAAAGATGTTGATGGGAAGAACTCATAATAATGAAACAAAGAGTTCTTCTCTTCTGTTCTAAGATGAGCAATTGTGCAGAAAGCAATTGGCAACTAGCAAAGTGTGGGATTTCTGACAGCCTTGGAAGCTTTCTTTGTAGAAAAGAAGAGCAGCAGTGGCAGGCTTTTGGGCTGTAGCTGACCCAACCAGAGTCACTGTTCTGACCAGACATGCCTGGAAAGCAATCCTGTCCAGGCCAAGATACAGAATTCTGGACTATCATGTAAGTCACACACTTAGACCAGGTAGTGAGAGAGTGAACTAGCCAGCCATCAGCACAAAGGAATCGCATGCCTGCTTTCAACCTGGACAACATTGTTGCCTGTATAATCTCTGCTCAGGAAGCAGCACTTTATGGGCATTTCTCAGTTCTGTTTTGTACCAAGCCCTATGAACTATAATGTTGAGAGACAGCTATTCCTGACTTGCTGGCTTGTGAAAATCCAAACTGCCTGGTGGATTTTTAGGAGCTGTGGTTCAAAACAAACAAAGAAACAAAATGTAAACTTTCTAACCCTGGACCAGAACACTTTATTTACCAAGGTTGGATTCTGAACTCACATTCAGCTCAATGATCCAGAGGAGTGAAACGAAGAGGAGATCAAAAGTCACAAAGAGGCAGAAGGTCCGCCGGACATCAGAGATGGCTCTTCTCCTTTCAGGAGAGTGGTAGTAGTGTGGAGAAAAACCCTGAGTATATGAAAGCGAGGACGCAATGGTGGGAAGGCTTTGCTCCAAGTCACTGTTCTGTAAGCTCAATGGCTTGGTCATCCTCAGACAAACCGGTGAAACGGCTGCTAAGCATGTGCAAAGCTGACATCCGTGACTCCGTCAGTGGCTCATCTCTGGGGAGGGAGGCAGGGAGAGAGAAAGAGAGAAGGAAAAAAACAGATATAAAATCTTTCAGATGTGTAAAGGCTTGGAGTTCAAGATACCATATTATATTTCTTTGATTTGTATCCCCCCTTTCTCCTAAAAAGTAGAATCAAAGGCAGTTTACAATACAATTACTTATTTTACTTATAGGCCACCTTTCTCCCAATAAGAGGACCCAGTTAGAAGACATGTGTAATAAAAACATTATAAATAAATCAAATTTTATTGCTTCATAGCCAGATGCTGTATGCATAAACAGAAATCAAATGATTCTTTGAAAGATAATACAGTAGTTGACAATATAAATACATATAAACAGTTAGAAAAATATGAAATAATAAAATAAGCATTCTCAAGCATCAAGGTGTAATATCACTAAAATAAGCATTCTCAAGCAAGTATCAAGGTGTAATATCAACATGTAGAAAATGTGAAGCAGGCAATGAATTCCGCCTTTCCACTGCTTGTTTAGCAAATGTAGCACTCCTATGGGATATAGAGTAGTCTGTACCAAGTAGCAGAAGTAAAACTATACATAAAGGGAGTTGTTCTTGATCTCGGCTGCTAAAAGTTTAAGATATTGTATATTCAAGCTCCTGGTCTTAACCATCAATCGGTTGCTGGAATCCTTCCTAAAATAGGGAGATTTTTATGCAGTGGCAAAAGGGCATCAGGATGGTGAGCATTCTAATGTCCTGTAGTAGGGATTCCATAGTCTGGGAGCAGCTACCGAAAAGGCTTTCTCAGGTGTCCTCACAAAAGATGCTCCTGAGAAGGACCTTTCCTGCAGATCTCAAAACCCAGGGACACTTGCACGGGAGAATGTAGAATTCTAGATATATGAAAGGAACCTTGCTTTATTTTTAACGTACAAAGGGTGTCTGTATTTACCTTCAACAATGAGACACTTCAGGTTGATTGAGGCTACTGAGATATGGTCACCCTGTGAGAGGAGTAGTGATGGGAACTGCCATCCCATTACAGAAAGAGGGAAAGGATGCGAGCATGATTCCAAAGCATTATGGTGTACTGTTTTGACTGCTGGACTAGGACTCAGGAGATATAGGTTCTTGTCTTCACTTGGCCATGGCACTCATTAGATGACCCTGGATCAGTCTCCCTCCCTCCCGCTCGCTCCCAGATTTACCTGAATGAGTTATAGTTGGAAGAAAGTAGCAAAGGGCTGTGATATTATACCACATGGAGAAAAGTCAAGAAACAAAAACAACAAAAAAACAAAACAAACACCACCGCCTGTGATACACCTGAGTACAAATTGCTCGCTCTCATCCTTGCTTTGCCTGAAGGAAGACAGCAGCTCCGTATGACTGCTTTTTTCTGCCCTTTCTTGAGAGAAAACTGATGAGGCAAAAAGAGGAGAGCAGAAGCACACCAAGGCCCCCAAGCAGGATTTTGAACAGGAAATACAGTACAGGCAACGCTTTGGAGCAACAAACAGTGACCAAGAGATTGTGAGAACCGTATCTAGGCCTTTCCAATCGATCCTGCTTCACAAGTATCCACAGGACTTTCAGGCCAAACCAAAGCCAAGTGTGAGAATACTGAGCCACTTTGTCCTGGCTTCTGTTGCTTGAAGCCACCCAGATGGGAATTGAGAGAACAGTGCCCCCCTCCCAAAGCGCTCCAACTGTTCCATCAGATGGTGGTTCACAGATTTGGAAGGAACCAAAGGTCATCTAATCCAAGTCCTTATCCAAGGACAGCAGGGCTGGGAAGACCACCGCTCCTCCACCCTCCACTAGCTAGACTCCAGCAACAGATTAGATGTATCCAAGCTGCTGGTGCCCCCCCCCCACACACACGGCTTCCAGCAGTTTGTGAAAAGAACAGTCCTTCCCTCAAAGCACATGCTGATGCCCCAACTAGAGTCTCAGAACACCACAGGGATCCTTGCTCGCTTAAAACTAGGCTCTAGTCTTGCCTGTTGAAACTCTAGACGTGAAGACGCCTGAAGTTCCTCATGAATATTCTCATGAAGAAAGGGTGTGAATAATCTGGAAACTCACTCACACATGTGTGACTGCTACAACAGCAATAGCCTTTTTGGCTACTGATTAGAGGAAGCTGCAGAAGTTTCTGGTAGTCAAAGGGGCAGTGGTTAGACAGCTGGACCGGGGGAACAAAGTATCCGTTCCCCTCCCTGTGAGCCCCGAAAGTCACTGGTTCATCTCACTCCCTCTCAAAATAAGTGGGAGACAGGTGACAAACATGTTTGCTGTGAGGGACACGTTCCTTCCCCTCACACCAAGCCTCTCTATAATTACTCTCTGCTCTTTGATGCCAATCTGCACCCCACACCCAGAACATAAACTTTCCATTTATTACCTTCCTTCCTCTTACAGATCTATGATTTCCAGAAATGTTGATGCCACTGGAAAAGACAGCACTCTTCCTTTATATTCCCTCTGGGAAACCATGTAAAATATGTGCCACTTATTTTTGTTTCTATTATCCTTTACAAATTTAAAACCATTTTGTCGCATGAGGGATGTGGAAGTATTACTTGTTTATATGTAAAAACATAAATGCATGGGAAAGAAGTTCACTGTATAAATAATCATGTTTCACATATTAAACAATAGTTTGTTCAGATAGAAATTATAAATGTATTAAATGAAATTAACAGCACTAAATTGAAATTACTTTGTTTGGAATCCTGTCTAGAAACTGAGTGACAAATAGGTGGATACTAAGAGATCTAACATATTAAATTTTGGAAATTTATAAAAAGCCATCTAGGAGCAGTATCCAACAGTAACTAAATAGCAGGAGTTTGCAGGGAGCTGAAAAGGAGGGGAAACTCCCAAGTGTGAATACAATAACAAAATAGAACAAGGTTATTTATTTTGAATGTTAGCCTTTCAGAAGAGGAGCCTGATCAGTTCCATGATGTCAAAAAAGGAAGTACTGATTAATTTCAGAAAAGAAATGGAGAAAAAAAGAGGATACCTTCTCTCCCAGTCTCACTAAATATTAATGCTGTGAAATGAAACTTTGCTTAATCATTCTTATTTTCTAAGTGACCACCAGCAGCTTGTGCTTCCCTTTTTTTTAATCACCCTCCTAAATTTCCCCAAACTGGTAAGCTCCTTTTTGCAGATAGGTTTATTTAGTTCGACCGTGTCAGAAAGCTGACTAGTTTCTTCCATATGTTGCAGAAAGCAGAGGAACTAAAAGTGGACAAAAAAGAACCAAATCAGAACCTGTGACTTGTACATGTCTTTTTCATCTCATTTCAACTCCAATACATGTGGCAAAATCCTGGATTGCGTTCGTCAAGCAAATACCTGAAGATATTCTGTTTTTCAATATTTTAAGTCTCTTTCCAGCAAGTCCTAAATGTGCTTACAACTCATTATTGGGAGAATTAATAGCCTAGTACCAAATTACTGTGTTCCTGGAGGAGACTCTTGAGAGTCCCCTGGACTGCAAGGAGATTAAACCTATCCATTCTGAAGGAAATCAACCCTGAGTGCTCACTGAAAGGACAGATCCTGAAGCTGAGGTTCTAATACTTTGGCCGTCTCCTGAGAAGAGAAGACTGCCTGGAAAAACCCTGATGTTTGGAAAGAGTGAAAGCAAGAGGAGAAGGGGATGACAGAGAACAAGATGGTTGGACAGTGTCACCAAAGCTACCAACATGAATTTGACCAAACTCCAGGACGCAGTGGCAGACAGGAGGGCCTGGTATGCTCTGGTCCATAGGGTCACGAAGAGTTGGACACAACTTAAACAATGCCAAATTAGAAGCATCTTGTCTTAAACATTTTATACATCATCACATTAAAATACTTCATAATCCAGTCTTTCTCCCTCTTTTATGCTAAATCATCTCAAAACATTGAGGGGTGGAGAAACTGTGTTTTTTCCTTCAGACTTTCGCATCTCCTCCCTCACGTGTTTTCTGGCATCAACAGTGACCCTAGATAGCTGGATACCTGTACTTCAGTAGAGAAAAGGGTCATGAAGAATGAAGGGAAAGATTTCTACATGCTCACAGGAAACCATGGCTTTGGAATTATTATGAAAATACCATACAAAAGGTCCGTAAACATTTGTGGGTTTTTCAACTTTCAGGATTTTGACAGAAGAGAAACTTTCACAGCAAGACATTTCTTTGTCTTAATACCATATTTTGGGGTGGGGCAGGATGTACTGTACTATGTCTCCTTGGAAGTGAGATCCACTGAGTTCAGGGGACTAACGTCCAGAAGTAGATATAGGACTGCAGCCTGAAAGAACCAGGTGTTTGAAAGACTTTCACAAATCTGTCAACGAATTATTCTTAAGAACAGTTAAACCAATGAAAATGAAAAGATCATTTGACAGTTGGGGGAAGAAAAAGAAGAAAACCGAAGGCAAAAGAGAGATCAAATTAGCTGCTCAAAGCTCCTGCATATCCCTTCTGCACTAGGGAGAATCTCATAACTGTGGCGATGAATGGAGTAAAGAACACAGTTTGCACTCATACTCCACAGTCATCACCCCTACTATAAAGGAAGAAAATCCTCATTGTGGATGAGCAACCATCCTCAAACATAAATCTCATAGAACTACGCAGCATGTCAGAGATCTGTCTTGAGATGAGGAAGAAAGCATGTCCCTAGAAAGGTGGATTTGATTTAAATCCAAAAATTTGGATTTTTTAATAGTTTAAATTTTAAAAATCATTTTTAAAATTTAAATCATGATTTAAACTGTGGTTTAAATCAATTTTATATTTAGCAATCCCTCCCCTCCCCACAACCCAAGCAACGCTACACAATTCCTGTTCCAAGGCAACAGGAACCTTGAAAAACAGCACTAATGTGGAGAGGGGGGGAAATATGGCAGACCACTTTGTTGCAGCTGGGATCCTTGTTGGGCTGATCACAAAGTGAGTTCTAAACCAGAACACTGCCCAAACTGCCTTCTGAAGACATCCCCATGCCAAATATTTTGGATGAAA